TCGTTTATGTCAACTGTCACTGGATCCCCTCCTATTTTTGGCCAATAAAGTGGCAAAGGTGGCAGAGTTGATGCCATGCTGCAGGCGTGGAAGAGAACTGAGGCTGTCTTTTCTGACAATCACATGTGTGATGGCATTTGAACAGAAAATGAAAACCTTCTATACCTCCATGATCCAAGTCCAAAGCTGCATTAAAATCATTGCTGAGAGGGGGACACAACAGCGTACAGGACAGTTGCAGTGAGAGGAGCCAGTAATTAGCATATTTAAAAAACAAATTAAACAAATTAGAACAATACCAATAAAATGCTAGACAGGAGAACTGTTAATACTGTGCTCCCTAGCCCATTCTGGACTACAAAGAAATAAACCCAGCAGAGAAGCAACTCCAAAATAAATAATGATTTATTAAAGGGGCACAACATGTTAGATGTGAAATACATCGGTCTGAACTCACCAGTGCCCATTTCTCCTGGTGTGCTGTCAGACTTGTCAATGGGACCGTTGAGCCGGACTATGCTGGAAGCCGGTTTTGCACTACTGGAATTTTGATAATTGAGCTTAGGAAGGCAGTCGCCGCTTCCTTTTGCGCTCTCTGCCTCAGATACTGCATACGAAAAGAATATATATACAGTTTAATGAGCTGGGAGGTAAACTCAGCAAAATTTTCAAATCTCCATTACCTCTGGGCATTTTTCCTACAGGAAAGATTAACTGAACAGCAGTATGTGGTGATCTGTCCAGCTGCACTCGACTGAGATGCGGGAGACTGAAGGCGCATGGATCTCTGGGTGGGAATGTTTGACAAGATTCCTGCATGACGAAAAAGCTAATTACACTATAAATTATATATTTTAGACAAATTCAGTGGTGAAAGTCCCATCAAAATGTGATTTGTCACCATTTTTCAAGACCCCAAAACTCAATAAAAAAAGATAATTTGGTGGCAATCTCTGGTCTACATTAAGCAAAAAGTCAAGCTCAGTGATAAGAATGGTGCCTTCTGGGTGCGTTAAGAGCTATGAATATGGAACAAAAGCAGACTTCCTAGCAGCCAGCTCTATTCTCTACTTTTTATGTGCAATTTTAGAATTGCTCAAATAAATTTTGATTTTTAGTCCTTTCCTCCCCAAAGACTAGCAGAAGTTTTGAACAGTAGGTCTCCCAATAGCAATAAAATCTTAGCATCAAATTTGTTGATGTAACGAACACATTTTAATAATGTACTATTAGGTTTTAATTTTGCTTGGTGACAAATAACAACACCCCCCCCTCCTCCCAGTTAAAAGTGTAATATAAAAACTCCTGTATTTTGTTTCAAAGAAAAACAAAAATGCTTAAATATTTGCTCCTAAAGCAGAAAGCTGGGAGAAAAAAACTTCATAAAACATATCCATTTGATAGCTGGATGAATGTCTACCAAAAGTAAGAGTGGACAATACATTTGACCGTAACTGATGGAGTTGTTAGAGGTACAAAGTCTGCTTTTCAGACCTGTTGAGTACCTACAACCCTTGGTGAAATGAAAAAGACCTACAGATTCTCCCCATATATTACTGCATTATCCACTGCCTTGCTTTCGCAGTTCAGGATCACTGTAACATTGCTCTCATTTATTCAGCCAAAAAAAAATAAAAAAATCGAAAGGTCTTCATACTGTATTAGCTATAAAAGTTGGAATTAAAATGTCTTGGTAATATTCCAGGTGCCGGCAATTCAAGCCTTTCTGCCTCAAGCAAAAATGCAGGTTTCTGACGTTTATTCATTTTTTATTTGAGCAATGGTGAAATAGATAAAAAAAAAAATCATTTATCTGCAAGGGAATTAAAACTAAACTATTTCAAAAGACTTGAAAATTCATCACTTCAAGAAGCAAAAGGAAGCTGATGTTTCTAATGCATATTTGCTTTGCTAAGCATTCAGCTCAGTCTGTTTGACAATAAAAAGAGTTGACAAAGCAGCACTGCACTAAGCAAGAATTGCTTTTCTTCCAGAATCCTTCAAGCACAGAGCCTGAGCAATCTGGGTTCCCATGACAAAATGCTGGTGTTGGGGAGGATATGACAGAATCCACCCACCTATGATCCCCAGGCAGGTTTAGAAACCAAAAGGGTGCTTGCTACCTTTTCTCGTCTCCCCTGCAGGAGTTTTTGGACTACTGGCCCTGCCTCAGTGAGGATCCAGGTACTGCCACTGGCCCTCACTTCACGAGAGGTAACCAAGCAAATACGTGTTGGTACAGTTCTTACAAGCATCTGTGGGTAAGGGCTAACTTTCTAGAAAGGTGCATCATGGTGTCATACACAGAACAGGTGATTGCGCATCTAGCAAGGAGCTCAAGAGAGCTTGCAGTCAACTGAATATTTCCAACAGGTGACACAACCAAAACATGGTTAGTGAAGTTAGTAGCACAGCTAAAGGACTCCAGCGGGACCAACCTTACCCATGCAGTTCCATGCCTGTCACTCCTATTTTTCAGTTTCTGCTTATCTTTCGCTCTTAACTTTGAATTTTCTGGTTTTCTAAAGGTTTGCTTTTTTAAATCCCTCTTAATTTTTTTTCCTTTCTAAAAACTGAGATTTTTAAAATTTAATCTTAATCCCATGGTAGCATTTTTGGTCTGTTTTTTAGAAGTCAAAGAAATACCTTCTAACTACAAACCACGTGGGGTCACTGGCTCCCTTTGGAACATCATCCCACAAAGACTCAATGGGAGAGAATCACCACACTCACCACTCCCAAACTTTCTTACGGGTTTAGGATGGCAGTGAATGCAAATCTTGTGATGGAGGGTCTCAGAATTCACCTCTCCGGAATTCTCTTAGAGATGAGGAATTGCACAGAGTTGCTTGGTTATATTTGTGGATAAGTGGGGTCTCTCTGGAGCCTGTGGTCTAAATAAGGATTATAAAGTACACTGGACGCTTGAACAACCTGCATATTTCTTTTATTTGCAATTCCCTATGCAAGCTCTAAGGGAAATATTGTGGATCTCCCTTCAGGACTGACGCCTATCATTTAGGAGTCTTGTAGCCCTACCCGTGCTGGCTAAAGAACACAGGGCACTAAGAACGGAGCAGGTCAGCATGGATTGCTCAAAGCCTGCACAAGTCGACATGTGGTGCTAAGGAGCTGCAGTGAAAATGCTGTTACTGTAATAATGCTCAAGGCACGACTTGGTAGGGGTAGCATATCAAACCAAGTCTTGAGGCCTAGCTGAGTTACGACATCACAAAAGAATTAAAAACATAGAAGCAGTGAGATTTTAGCAGTGTTTTGGGCCACCAGCCCTCTAAAATCGCTTATCCACTTTGCCTGAAAACTTCCATGCAAATCTACCCCTTGCTTATAAGGCCAGGCCTATAAAATGGTAGGTATATTGCTTTAGATTTGGTGAAGCTGCACAGATTGAGAAAACCAGGAAAACAAACTGTTTATGGAAAGCTTGCGTTTTAACCTCAATTACGGAAGACGCTGGCAGCTCTCGACTATACAGTCGCATACTGGGTGTCGGAGTATCTACATTCATCTAAAATGAACTGAATATCAACATTTATAAGGTACGTACAAGAGCTGGAATCACTCTCTTTCTTGTCCTCTTTTTGTTCTTGGTTATCTTCAACAGAGGGTTTCCCTTGCCTAACTTCTTCTTTAGATGATGAGTTACTTCCAAGATCTGAAACTCCCCCTATTATAATGAGAAAATTGACAGGGTGAAGAAAGTAAAAGATGTCATGCCAGGAAACAATGCGTCAGAGAGCAAACGGTATACATCAAACAGCAACAACAATACTGCCTTTCAATACATTCCACTTGAAAATTTAGCACTGTATCATAAAACTTGCCAGAGACTTTCACAAAAAATATTATCTGCCTCCTGCATATTTGGTTGCAACAGCATTATATAAATTACGCCCACAAAGATCAAAAGGGAAGGCTAAAACAAACAGTCAGCTTGCAAGAATGACTGTTAAACATTCTCTTTCCTTTCCAGCTCATTTGTTTAGAAAGTTTTGCATTAGCAACATTTTGTTTGACAAAAAACCCCCCAAAAACCAAAACTCTTTCAGTCTTCTGGCGGTATGCTTAGACATTATTCCATTTTACAGTAACATTTTTTTCAATATTGAAAAAAAAATCTCACATTTTTGTTTTTACACAGAAAAGACACTTTTAAAATAATGAAGACAAACTGAAATTTTATTCTCACACAAAAAAAATCAACACTTCCTGGGAAGTCTAGATGACTACTCTGCAACACTGAGAGGCAGAATTCAGAGAGCAACACTGGGCTGAAAACGGCTAATGTAGCTTTGATCGAGTGAGTTCAAGAAGCAAACTCAGTAGGAATAAAATAAGCATGGACTGACATTTCAAACAGCTCTTCTGCCCCAAGGTTGCCTAAATTATTGGCATCATATGAAAGGAATAAATAGAGCAAGTGGGAAGTTTGTGTTTGTCCTAGATAAGGAGGTAAAGCTGTTTTGATACCACTTACAAAATAAACTCTTTGGATATGGACAGAGGGAAGGGATAATGGAACCAAAAAAGCAAAGAGATGGTGAAATTCTGACATCATATTAGAAAATTTGGAAAGACCCAGAAACTAATAACAGTTGCTCAAGAATGTTATATATTCACACTTATGGACTATAGCAGTCCCACCTTGAGCTGAGGAATTGTTCTCGAGAACAGCATACACCCTTCTTTCCCACCAAAGAGTAATTCAGGAATATAAAATAGAACAGCCCCAATAATTCTTTATTTCTTTTTTAACTGGCAAGTGTACACAATGCTTGAATCACACACGCACATTGTCCTTGATGCTTTCTCTCTTTTGATTCTGTCCTTGGGAAGCTGTTTTCTTTTAGATAGTTAGATAACAGCTAAACTGTCTACATATCTTTGGTTTGCAAAACCAACCCGTCCCCCCCCAAAAAAAACAAAACCAAAAAAAGATACACAACAGTAAATGGTACAATTCGGATGACCTGCAGGCGCAGGACAAATGTCTCATACCATCCTGGCTGGAGAGACTTTGCAGGCCTCATCATACAGTAAATTGGGACTGTTATTGTCATGAATCACGGACACTGGATCATTATATCATATGGTTCACCGGAGGCCACAACAGCTGGTGGTAGGCACTGGATGTACCACCTAGATAGACGTGTGGATATTCACTAGAAGTGCAGCAATACATCGGTCCGATATCGGATCGGCACTGATATAAAAAAAAAATCGATTGTATCGGAAATCGGCCTGATGTGTCCGATAAATAAGTTGGCCGATAAATGCCCTTGCGTGCACACAGCCGCAGCACGTCATGCAGCCAGCGAGAAGCACAGCCTGGCAGCTTGGAGAGCTGCGCGCAGCTGGTAAGTCTGTTGTGGTGGAAGGGGAGGAGGGAGGGAAGGGGCATGGCGGGGCAGATCAATGCCCCCTGCAGTGAGGGAGGGAGTGGGGCTGGGCCTGGGGCAGGGGCATGCACTGCCCAGCCAGGGCTGTGTGCAAGATGGAGACGTGGCTTGTCCAGAGGGGCTGGCTCCCTCCGCTGCGCGTACCCTGGGAGGGCATGTGCCCCTGGATCTGCGCGGGGGAGCAGGGGGTTGCAGCTATTACCCAGAAGTATGCAAGCACACACAGACAATGCTTGCCAAAGGTACTACCTTAGGTTGAAACCATATTGACATTAGGTAAATATGCCGCATTCAGAATTGAACTAATAAAATGTAATGAAATAAAGACATTGAAATTTGGTATTTTATTTGTAAGACAGGAAGCAAATTCCTGCTTCTTTAAACATTTTAATGTTATATATAATTTCTATGAAGCCATTCAATTCTATGATAGCAAAACCTGTGATACGCAAGTTGCTTACCAATGAAAAGCAATACAAAAGTGAAGGAATACTTTACCAGAGAGAGCAGCATGTGGTATGTTTGCAGGTAGCTTTTTCAGAGCTCTTTTAAATTGTGCAATGCCTAATACAACGTTTCGTATCTTCATCCATAGAAAATAGCCGCCTCTATTGCTCGAAGGCCAAGTGCTTTCCAAAACAGCCTAGTCAACAAAGAAGGTAAAATGAAGTGATCATAATGAGTCCTTGCTTGCTGCCATAGATCCGTTTAAGATTCATAATGTAAGGACAATCAAAAAGCGGTTCAAATAAAACTAGGCAAAAAAAAACAACCCGTATTGAAAGAGTAAACTGCCAAATGTTCCAAAATAAAGGCAAAGTAACTTACTCTACCTGATTCTTTTACACCTGTTCCTTTAGCAAGATTTTACTTGCTATTTAGTTGTGTTTAATTATATAAGATTACATCAGCCTACTTCCCTGCTACAAAACACGTACCTTATTATAGTAACCGTAGGTAATAGCATTAGGGTCAACTCCAGCTTTTTTCATTTCAAAAAGGACTCGCACTGCAAGCACTGGCTGGCCATACTGTCCACAAAGCTGCATGAGCACCCGGTAACACACCTGCAAACAGACATGAAATAAAAATGGTTAATTTATAATCTAATGTATATACATCTCCAAACAAAAACCACAGGATATTCTTTTTTACCTCATCAGGTGGGTCTATCTTTTTGGTATGCATTTTTCGTAGCACATCATACGCGGTCCTCAGAGCCCTGACTTTTGAATGGCACACCTTCACATATGCCGGAAGGCAGATAAACCACAGGCCATAGCAATGACGCAGCAGACACCTGGACCACATTTGAGGGATGGAGGAGTACCTCTTAGCAATCTTATGAGCTGACTTTATTTCCTGTAAAGAAGTGATCAATTAATTTCACATTCGTATCTTTATAACATACACACACACACGTTTAAAATTAATCAAATACTCAAGAAAGAGAAACATTAACGAGCAGTCTGGGATACTGACGGCAGTTGCTGCTCAATCATCCTCATATATATTTAAAAAAAAGATCATAACTTTTCCCCCCCCCCAGTAATTTTCAGCATAAATGAGGGCTTTAGGCTCTCTCTGCACAGGATATGTCTAGACATACTGAATCTTAAAGAACTACTGAAGCAGGGGTACAGACAAGCAAGAAAAGCAGCATTAACACCAGGGGCTCAGTTCTTATCCAAGATAAGCAAAAATGAATTTGGTAGAATCAGCTCCTGTGGACTCAATGGCTGCACACGAAGAAGCTATTTACCTCTCTCAGATTTTATACTAAGCTACAGAGCTCTTCTATTGCATATGGAAACTCGATCTAGTCCATAAACAAATCATAGTTTCTCCTTACACACATGGCTTATATATTGCATCTAGATCTTGGAATCAATTCAGGTATCAGAGGCCTTCAAGCCAGGTTATTTTTCGGCAGTTCTTATGTTTCCAATAAGAAACAAACAAAAAAAGTCTTTAAATAAAGGCAGTTTCTCTCTGTTTTTCTCTCTTTCTACCTGACACATTTGGAGTACCATGGAAAGCTATTCATGTTCTAATCTAAAGCAGCTAATTTATAATCTTACATACCCAAGATTATATCATCCTGAGTACTTTACCAAACAGAATTACAAAGGAAGCAATTTCAAATGACTACAACATTCAAGGGCAGCCTGCAAAACAAAATTAAAAACCTTAGATCCCCCAATTCCTCCCCCCCACTTGCCAAAAACTGTTTTGAAGCATCCCCTACTATGACATTTTGTGAGTTTGGCCGCTGGAAGGGTAGGTGGCCAGGCCACTTGCTATAGTTGTGTTACATTTCAGACAAGAAGCATAACTACGAGGGGAGGCCACACTTGATCTGCCTAAATGTTGGCTGCAACATTAGCAGGTTGACATGAGTTAGTTTTCTAAGTCAGGACTAAGCCAGTGACCCGGCACGGTGTCAGAGAGCACTGAACTAGTACCAGAGTCTTTTTTCAAAGGAAATAAAACATAGATGCTTCCCATTTGTGTTTACTATAGATCCTAGGATACTTTCTTGCCAAATTACAATCTGGACATTATATTCTGCCTACTTACAGTTCCCGTACATTTTCAGATAAATATCATGTTCTCTACAAGTTTGTACAAAAGTATCACTATCCTCTGTTAACAGTGGGGAGAAGTGAGCACGCTAGAAGAGAGGGACAGGCTACAGCTAGATCTGGACAGGTTACAGGGGGGGGTGGAAGAGAAAAGGATGGTTTCAATACAGACAAGCTTGCACCTGGGGAGGAAGACCCAGCAGCAGACCTACAAGCTGGGGAACTTCCTTCTCGTCAGTGCAGAGGCAGAAAAGGATCTTGGAGTCATTACAGACTCCAAGATGAACATGGGCCGACAGGGTGGGGATGCGGTCAGGAAGGCCAACTGTACCTTGTCATGCATCCACAGATGCATCACGAGCAGGTCCAAGGAGGTGATCCTCCCGCTCTGTGCAGCACTGATCAGGCCGCAGTTGGAGTACTGCGTCCAGTTCTGGGCACCGCACTTCAAGAGGGATGTGGACAACATGGAGAGGGTCCAGAGAAGGGCCACTCACATGATCAGGGGGCAGCAGGGCAGGCCCTATGAGGAGAGACTATGGGACCTGAACCTGTTCAGCCTCCACAAAAGAAGGCTGAGAGGGGATCCTAAAAACTGGCCAAGGGAGACCAGCAGGCAATGGGAGAGTCCCTGTTCCCCCAAGCACTACCCAGAGTTACGAGGAATAACGGCCACAAGTTGACTGAAAGTAGGTTCAGGCTAGACATCAGGAGGCGCTACTTCAGTCAGGGCAGCTAGGATCTGGAACCAACTTCCAAGAGAAGTGGTGCTGGCTCCTACCCTGGGGGTCTTCAAAAGGAGGCTGGCCAAACCCCTTGCCCGGGTCGTTTGACCCCAGCATCCTTTCCTGCCCATGGCAGGGGGTTGGACTTGATGACCTGCTTAGGTCCCTTCCGACCCTACTAACTATGAAACTTAAAACAGCTACAGTACTTTACCCCGCTGGCAGCTGCATTTCAGTGGTGGCCTAAGTAATTTTAATATTGTGAAGTTTAATTACCAATATCTCCAAAGTCAAGTGCTTTGAGATCTTTACCGGAAGGCCAGTGTAAAAGAAGAATCTTCTAAAAGCACGGCTTTATGTTTTTACCTTTGTTTTCATGTCATTTAGGAACCTAACAGTGGGAGCAAGAGAAAGGGAAACACTGCTTTCAGCCAGGTTCTTGGCAAATACATGAAAGCCATCCTGCAATAAATTTCAGGGCCTCAAGATGCTAAATCAGATGAAAAAAAAAATCAAAACTGGATCCAAAAGCAAAAGACTAACAGCAAATGATTTTTGATGAACGTGACTCTTGAATATTCTAGTTTGATTGAAAATTCACTTGTTCTTTAACAAATACATAAAGATGAGGGATCCTGCGGGGAAACTGCACCTAAGGACAAAACAATATTTCCTTCATCTAACAAGCCAATCAAGGTTTGTAGCAGAATACTAAGGAGAAAAATATTCCTATGATCACCTGCCACGCTACTGCATTAAGATCTAGCTCTTCTTACGGTTAGCTGTTAAAAACAGTTTCAGTTAACAGCAGGGCTGCCCAACTTCTCAGTGGCTGGGGGCCACATCCCATGTGGGCTACAACAGGGTGAGCCAAGGGCCCCCCATCGCTGCCTCCGTGCACCTGGGGGCAGGCAGCTCCTCACACTGCCTGCTCCATAGCACACCCAGGCTGCTCCACCATGCAAACCCCCCACCCCAGCTGGGAAGCTATGGGCTCCTGTGTGCTGCACTACCCCTTAGTGCAGGTGCACGAAGCCGAAAGTAGACGGGAAGCCGGGAGCCCCTGGCTGCTACCGCAGACAAAAGGATAGTGGGAGTGGCATCTGGGTAAAAGCCCGGGGGGCCACAGATTAACCCCGTGAAAGCTACATATAACCCAGAGGCTGCCAGTTGGACAATTCTGTTATAAGGCATGATATGGTGAAGGACCCATCAAATTAATGTCAAACTGATCCCAACGAAAAGTGACTACCTACCACCCAGCTACAAATCAGCAGTTCTGAACAGTTCATACAGCTATCGTTGAAGCCTGTCCATTTGATAGCATCGCTTTTGAAGGAAAAAGGAAGGCAATTCCCAACAATATAGTTTAAAACTAAATCGGGTAGTCTGGAATTGTTTTGAACCCCAAGAAATGACATGTTCTTTTGTCACCGAAAAGAATCATATGCAAGTATTAATGCCATAGGTCAGAAATAAATATTTTCAAGGGGAAAATGCTTGCACTGTTAATGACTTTTGGAGTTCACAATTCACCACAAATACAGGATATTCAACTGAAATTTAATTCTCTGGAATGTCCATTAGAGGGGAAAATAAGCTAATTAAAATACTTGTTTAAGCCATAAGCAAGTCACATCATAAAAATCAAGACACGGTTAACTGAACATTGAACAAGGGAGCTCTGCGAGAAAAAAATTAAAGTGTTCACTCATTAAGTAAAGCTTCTCATGTGAATAACCATACACCCAAAAGAAACGTTCATTAGCAGGTGCACGTCACTGCATTTTAATTTAGCATTCATCAATAATTTGCAAAGCAATATGCGAAATCTCCTACTATCATTTATTATCAGTTCTGTTTGACTCTGACTGTAAATCTGTTGAGGTTTTTTTTGTTTTGTTTTGTTTTTTTAAAGGTAACAAAATCTCTCTAGAGTTTGAAGGCAGAAGGCAGGGCAGGGTGACGTGCCTCAGGGCATTTTTAAAGGGCATTTTGTGTTCTGGGGTGGAGGTGCTTTAATTAGAGCGGCTCCAAGAGTCACTCTAATTAAAGTGTCCACAGCATCTCGTGTATTCAGTGTCCCGTGCTTCAAGATGGCAGCGGGTGCGCTTTAACTAAAGCTTGTTCAACGAGTTTTAGTTAGTGTCCCCGCCACCATTTTGAAGTGCAGGGACGTTGAATACACATGACGTGGAGGCTGCTGGAGTGTGCTAATTAGCATGCTCTAGCAGCCTCCACATCATGTTCATTAATCGCATGCTAACTAGCATGCACTGGAGCAGACGTCCAGCACGTATATAGGTGCCCTTAGAGACTAACTGGTTAAGCTTTGAAGAAATCCAGACAGTTCTTTTTCAGATTCATGTGATCCAGCCATGAGCAGAAGTGTCAATCCATCTATGGTGCTGTGTCAAGAGGAAAGAATAAAATACTTCAAGGAGCTATGAAAATAGTCACCACCTATCTGTTCCTTCTCACTTCCTTCACTTATGATGCTAGTTTCAATATCCATTTTATCTACTTCTCCACAGCTGGCCTTGCACTTTCCTCCATGCTATTCCATATACATGAAATAATATTCTTGAGCTAGTTCTTATGGATACTATCTGTATGGAGACTTCTCTTAAACCCCTTCTGAAAGCCTACTTCTACAAGACCTACAATTACCAGTAGCTGCCTCAGTCACCCCTCTTAAAATATCTAACCAGTTATTTCTCTTAAAGGGGGACTGTTGATTTATATGGAGCCAGGAAGTTTAATGATGAGAGGGAAGGCTTGCAAGATCACTAGGATTGCAATGGCAATAGAAAGGGAAGATGAGAAAGATCTTTGTGTTCTTAAAGCAGAAAAAGAGAATGGTTTGGGGTCATTCACTCCAAGTACAGCTATGGCTTCAGGCAGGTCATGTGCATACTGTGGGTAAAAAAGGGAATGTGGCATTACTATATTATTGCCAGGCCTCCAGAGCAGCTGGAATCCTCTTAATTATTCATTATAGGACTCACCTGGTGAAGAAGTGAGAGTCTACATCTTCGAACAACAAAGTTTGTTAAGGAACTGAGCATCACAATGAGCTAGCATAACAAAGGTGTTAGATGAAGCTGCCAGGAGACACCAGCTTCGTAATTTTTCTTTTGAAAAAAATAGATATCTGTGTTTTGTGAATCAAAAATGGCTCTAACTTTATAAAATATAACAAGTCTTTCATTAACTACGTCTTGCAGTCCTTTTTCTTCATATATACCTACATTTCAAAGCTCCTGACAAACTTTTTGACTATTGATATCTAAACACAAAGTGCTAGTTCCAATACTTTTGCAGCAAGGTTTCAGCAGGTACAGAAAACCGGAACTTAGCTAAAATACCAGACACCCAGTGCCATGATGAGACTGACAGGTTGCTATCGACGCAGCCGCTATATCTGATCCCACGTGGGGTGCCTCAAGCGATGCTCCAACAACCATGAGAGAGACCTAGCTCTCTACCCTTTACAATCACTGTGTTCCTTTCTCCTGCTGCCCAGGAAAGAAAATTGGTTGGGAACTGTCCACATCAGAAGAGCTGGCTGATGAAGTAGCAAGAGCAGTACTAGATAACTGTTCCATGTTTTCAATCGCAGACACACAAACACCTGAAAAGAGGCCCACAATTTTCTCCCTCAAACATTTTTGAGGTGAGCCTCCCTAGCTTTTAACATATGCAGCAGCACACACACACACACACACACACACACACACACACACACTGTTGTTGGGCAGTCCTTTGCTACAAGGACGATAGCCTTCTAGTAAATAGGGACGTCGCTGATGAGTCTGTAGATGCCTGAGAAGACCAATCTGAGATCTGCATGTTCAGCTGCAGACATGCCAAATAATTCTGGGAGAAGGAAGGAGTAGATCCTGGTGATGTCAGGTCACAGCTCTTTCGCTTGGTGTCTCACGCATCTGCTTCCATAGTGAGGTGAGCGTGCTCAGAACAACTGATACCTTGTCATATATCATAATGCCACTGGGGACAACCCAGTGCTTGAGTCTCCCAGTATTGATATTTATACTGCATTTCTTCACACTGGCCTTCAAGGTGCCCTTGAATCTCTTCTTCTGCCAGCCTCTAAAGAGGTGACCAATGGTAAGTTGGAAGTACAGGACCTGTTTTGGGTGCCCATTATCAGACATACTTTGGACATGTCTTGTCCAATGGAGCTAGCATCACTTAAACATGGCTTCAAAGTTTGGCTAAATTTGTTCTTCTGTCCTTCCAAGTGTACACACAACTACTTCAAGGCTTACAGGTTCTGTGCAGCTTTAGTTCCTTGGTGAATATAATTTTTAGCTGTGTCTTCAACCACAGTCAGTCAACCTGAATAGCTGAGCTTAGAGGACAGAGTATCACTCACTTTTCAAAATTAGTCTTATAATTAAAAATACTTTAAATACCTGTTTTGTTCTCCTGAACATTGGTGATGGGCTATTGGGACTACTGGCTTTTGAGGACAGTTTGTTATTTGGTGTGGTCAGGAACCCTTCAAATCGGTCAAATAAATCTAGTTTCAGCACAGGGAATCCATTATAGCTGTCAAAAAAACCCCAGAAAACACATGCCATCACTTAACCCTTCTAAGTCTGCCACAGAATGTCTGGAAATTAAAGAAGCAATATTGTCTTGCTAGAATTTCAATAGGAAATAGTAAACACATGGATTTATGTACATTTACAAATTACACTTCACAGGTAAAACTTAGAAGAAACTGTTCAAAGAGTAGTTTACTACATCTAAAATAGTGGTTTTCTTTTTAAATTTGAGGATCCCTAAAAAATTTCAAATTTAAGAATTTTACATGGGGGGGGGTGTCACATACTTTTGATTGATTTCAGTCATCTTTCGCAGACCCGTTAGACAGTCTGCAGACCCCCAGGGTGCTCGACGCCCAGCCCAGAGGCATGTCATACGGCCCACGACAGGCAAGGTTATATGGGTAGATGTGATCTCTTATTAGACCAACTAAATAGTTGGAAAAAAGTTCTTTGCAAGCTTTTGGGTACAAACACCCTTATTCAGGTACTGAGAGACTCTGCTGATGTTATAAGTTCTCTAACGTAGAAAAGAAGCTTTTTATGGCTCAAGAATTCCTCAAGAACTGCACCATCAAACCCTTGCTATACCCGAGATATACAGATGACATCATCATCATCATCGTCGTCTGGATCAAAAACCTGCAGTCTCCGACTGATTTCTATCACAAATTCAACAACCAGCACCCCTCCATCAGACTCTCTCTTGAATACTCCAGCACCAACATTTCCTTTTTGGACACTATGATCAATATCCAAAATGGTAAAATACAAACCACCACATACAAGAAACTCACAGACCAACACACATATCTACACAGAACCAGCAATCACCCTGCACACACCAAGAAAGCTGTAATGTACATGCAAGCTGTCTGATGCCACCGAATTTGCCCTGAGGAGAATATCTGCGATCGTCACATCGCAAATCTCAAAGGGCTTTCACTCAACAAGGACACTCCTCCAGAGAGACAGACTGCATTTTGAAACAGCCACCTTGATTCCACGTGAAGGATTGCTGCAGTACAAAAAGAAATCCCCATGAATCGCACACCGTTAGTTATGACATACCATCCTTCCCTGGAACCTATACAGAAAATCCTCAAACAATTGCAACCCATACTAGAAGACGACCCAATTCTTAAAGAGCTCTTTCCAGAACCACGCATCCTAGCCTTTAAAAAGCACCGAATCTTGAGAACCTCATCACCAGAAGGAAGCTCCCCATCACCCAAATCATGGATGACTGGTGCCACCTTAGTGGAGGGGAAAGGGGTGTCACGTGCCCCCCCCGCACGACCAGTCGGCCTCCCCCTGCAGTCCATCGTGTCGCCTGGGAAGCAGCCGCAGTGCTCTCAGAAGTGGCCGCAGTGCTTCTTCCGGCACTCCCACTCCCTGGCTGGTACTCGCAGGGTGACACCGGTGCTCCTGCCTGCCCCCCCTGCCCATCACCTAAGTGGGGAGTGCAGCCTGTCAGGGGGTGCCCCAGTGCTCTCGGGGGGTGCACATCCACCCCCTATGCATCGCCACTGACCCAAACCACACCGAATGGATCCAGACCATGCCAGAACAAGAAATGCAAAACCTGCCAACATATCTTCAGCACCCTCACAATTACTACAGCCCAACACAGAACCATCATCATTCCTGGACCTTACACGTGCACCCCTAGAAATGTAGTATCTCTCATCCAGCGCACCAAAATGCCCTGATGGAAAATGTGTAGGAGAAACCAAACAACTGCGCACCAAAATGAATGCACAACAAAAACCCATCAAATACAAAAACACCCATTACCAGTGGGTGCACACTTCTCACAAGACAATCACTCCACTCCCTCTCCGATCTCTCAGTTCTAATCCTCAAAGGGAACTTACAAAACACCTTCCGTAGACGAGCCTACGAACTTCACTTCATAAATCTACTGGATGCAAAAAATCATGGACTTAATACAGACACTGGATTTATGACACATTACAACTTGCCTGACATCTAACACACTTGGTACCTGCCTTAAGCTGACCACTACTATTCCTTCACACTTTTCCCCCCCACACCGCCCCTATCATTCCCCTTTGCCCTCCAAACTTCCACCCACTGCATCTTCAGACTTCTTGTTTACTCCAGCTTTTTTTCTAGCTTGGAGAACCCACACCATTAGCAGAGTCTCCCAATGCCTGAAGAAGGGTGTTTGTGCCTGAAAGCTTGCAAAGAACTTTTTTCCAACTATTTAGTTGGTCTAATAAAAGATATCACATCTACCCAAATAAACTTTCCTGCTTATGTCCTTAGACCAATATGGCTACAACCAACAACACCTGACCCATGGGACTCCCCAGGGGTCTGGAAATGTGATGACAGGGGAATGGTGGTAATTAACACTGACCCACATTTTCAAAGCCTCATGTGACAGGATCAGGCTGAACACCTGGATCAGGCCCTGGATGAGCAGTGGCTGCACAGACCAGATCCAGCCTGCAGACTGACCTGGCACTGCTCATCTGGTTCAAAGGGTGACAAGACCAGGCAACACTGGTCTAGAATGATCTGCACAACACAAGCTCTTGACTCTCTGCATTCACAGACTTAAAACTTCAGTTCTTAATAGTTTTTCTTTATTAGTATTCCATTAAATTAGCCCAAAATGTATTAACATTGATTGCAGTTAATACAAAAAACCTCTGTGAAGCTTATTTAGTCACTAACAAGAAAGCTGTGGCATAGCCATAGAGGCCTATAAAAATCTATATTAATGCTATCAGTCTGAAAGCCTAAATTACATTTCTAGCTTAAAAAGGATTTTTAGTAATGTAGCAAAGAAATCAATAGAAATAATCTTATTTGACAAGTAATTACTAAATTAACATCATCAGTTTTCACCTGAGAGCCCGATTCTCCTGTTGCTTAAATTCTCTGGAATTAAGGGGAGCAGCAGAACACTCGGCATTTCACAAAAGGTGTTTTTAGAACTGCAGCCAGGGTCCTTGGAAGGACTGGTAAGTTTTAAAATGTAACAGCCAGCATAGTCCAGAGTAGAGCTGGTCATGGTCCATATTAAGAACCATAAGAAATTTAGCTTTATTAGAAAACCAATCATGTACGTACCAGCGTTTTTACAGAAGAAGCAATGGAACTGGGAAACCTGTGTTCTAGACCTATAAGTACTAAATACCTCTGTTGTGTACCAAAATAAATAAATAAATAAATAAATGTCTACAAGTCAGCTGTAGGAAGGCAAACATCTGCTGTTTTTGGCCACTACCCTATTTTGCTCCCCTGAATACCTGTACTGCAAAGGGTGTTCTTCCCCATTGGGTAGGTGAGGGATCTCGGGTGGCGTTATAAACACTGTGTGTTCACTCTTGTAAGACTCATCCAGCTCTATCAGGCGTGTTTCACCAGTCTTGTCCATGTCTACCTGCAGGAATTTAATTAAAAGGAACAGTATTTATTAAAGTTACTGGATATTCCTGATATCAGATAAGTATTTGGTACAGCAAAGACAAAGAACACCCAGTATCAGCATCAGATGATCTCACCTGGGAGTTAGGAACTGCTGGCAAGGTGATAATTAGAAGACATCTGTCTGGGAGTGGGGTTACATGAGGATTAAATATGCCACACAGAGGCACCTTTTGAAAAGCTTTTCTTTAAGAATGATAGTAATTTTAGATGAACATCTTTATTATATAAAAACCAGGCCCCAACATGTGGTGGGAAAGATACTGAATGCTTTAATTACTCCTGGTTTTTTTATTTCATTAAGCTAATATTCATCTTTGTTGACTATTTAACTATTGGCACATTCATTTCCATTCCTAATATACTCAACCATTTTTGTTTCCCAATGTTCTTTTAAATAGCTAGAAAGGAGGTTTTATTTTATTTTGTTTTAAGAACATCTTTCAGACTTAATGCCTTTGGAAGCTTCTGTGTAACTAAGAGCTTCAACTTAATTTCTTCTCTAAGAAAAAACTTACAGCTAACCTTTTATAGTACCCCAATCACTAGCTGGAGCAGTAACAGAAACCTGATTCAACAGCATCATTTATTGAGAACCTGTAGGTATGATTATTCTCTGGGCAGAAATTGTAGTTCCTTATGTAGCAATCAAGACTCGCTAGCTTACAGTGTTTACAGAAATTGTTTGCTTTGCTTAGATTACCTATGTTAAAAGAAATGCCGAAGTCACCAAAACAATTGTTGCTCAAAACTTTATACTTCATGTTAAATGAAAAACGGATTAGTTTTAACATCCAGTTATGCAAAACAAAAATCACTGTCCCCGCCATGAGCCTGAATGAAGAGAAGACTGTCTAGCAATATTACTGAACTCTTCTTTCCATTCTTTGAGCCATAGAAACACAAGAGAGTGCAGTTATTCCTCCAGGGAGAGGAGAGGAGAAAAAAAGAGACTCTTTACTAAGTGCTCAGATTTCCTGAGTAATACAGTCTGAATCCTTTGTAAGCCCCAGAAGCAGTTGTGTTGGAAGCTGCATAACTGCAGATGGTTATTAAAGCCAGCTCCCCTGTTATCATGTTTCACCTGGAACAGTTGTATTAGTCCAAAACTAACATTTAAATTAAATTAATATCTTTGACACAAGCCACTGAGAGACTAAAGCTATGGCCTATGCCCTCAACTTGCCCATGGACCAGTGGTGCACCTAACTAGAGAAGATTCCTCATCTCCCTCCTGGCTGGTTCAGGGCCGTGCCTTGAGCGGTAGACTAGATAAGCATGGGCCAACCTTTTGGCAGCTGTTCCAGATGCCAAGTCCCACACCCACTGAATACCACTCTGATCCCCCTCCCCTGCCCAATCTGCTGCTCTGTTTTCTGTTCTCTCCCCGATCTATTGCATGCCATACACAGAGGTTGTCCATGCCACCTGTGCCAGGTTGGCCGCCCTGGGACTAGATGATCTCCAGAGGTCCCCTTTTGACCTTCAATTCTATGCATCTATTTAGATTACAAAATCCAATGCAGGGTAGAATTGCCCATGACGCATCATCATGCATACAATTATACAGATGTGCCTTAGTTTTCTGAAAAGGATATATTGTTTTTTTTACAGACTGTTCTCAAGGACACTTGAATTTAAGTACCTATCTAAACTGGGTAATCTTCAACTTCTAGTCAGTAAATGTATTTCATATCATGAATCTATAAAAGAACATGTTCTTTTCTTTGAACTATGTATTTATCTATGAACACTGCTCAAGAAAGGATGGCTCATCACCCCCAACTCCCATTCAATTCAAATGGGAGCGACTGGTGCTCAGCTCCTCTGAAAGTTCCCTCTTAACTCCTCAGGTTGCAAGGTGAGCAACTGCCAACGTATGTTAACATTCACAAAGCCTCTCAGACACAGGGGGGAAGGTGGCTTTCACTTCATCTGGGTGGTAAAATCCATCTTGAAAGAAGTGCTGACTGGACAAATGAGAAACTTCTGTCACTGTCTCCCCCCAAAAGCAAGCCTGGCTTTCTGCCCCCAAAATGCTATTTTTGCTGACAGCTTTATACGTCTCTCTACTGTCAATGAACTGGCACCATAGGAAGGCTGCCTCCTTCCCAACACATGGAAATCACTAAATTTTTTGCAGCTGGTGCAGGTAGCTCAAAAACTGTGACGTTACTTCACATTTATCACAATTATTTGAAGGGTGATCTTGCTCTCTTTTGGAAGAGCGAATATTACTGTCTTACAACCACTTTAAGCACTAGACTATCAACAACTGCAAAGATGCATTATCCAGTTGAGATTGAGAGTGGTCGGTGGTACTTTCAGGGTAGTCGCTGTCAGACACCATCTACAGTATTTTCTGAAATAACCTTTAAAGGTAAAGTCTTCTGAATGACAGCCATGAAATAAAGAGCAGGATGTATGTGATAGGAACAGTCAAAGTCTTGTTTCCTCCACTTAACAGCTCCAAAAAAAGAAAAAGGAACTGCGTGAATAAACACGGACTAGAAGCAGTCAAAGGTGTTTTATGTTTGTAGGTCGTTTAAGTGTATAAAACTGCACTACTGCCTAGAAAGATAATTTCAAAATACATTTAGCTTGTATGTTTAAAAAATAAGAATGCAGTGCCGTTTAAAAGTGCTAAGCTGACAACTCTGTAGACTGAAGTTGTCCATTCCTGCACCCAAGTACCGTATGGGCAGCAGCTGTGTAAGACTCCCTGTGCTACGCGAGGCCTGACCTAGGAGGACCACCTCTTCAAAGGAGCTAAGGAATGAACGGATGGGAAGACAGACCAGCAACCACGACCACTAGGAACTCAACTCAGCCCTTGTCTTCACAATTTAGTACCAGCCGAGTCTTTCCAGACTGTGTTGAGCACTTGGGCACCTTGTGATCAGATCAACCATACCAATAATAAGTTACCCTGAAGTCATTTCACACAGGCCAATGAACTGCAGCCACATGCTGGGAATGACTGGCCAATGTCGGTCCAATAGGGATTAGAACCAGCGACCTCTGAAATAAGAACCAGTCGTCCTGAATTGAAATTCTGGTTATGTTTTGCGTGGGTAAATTGTATTCCTCGAGTTGTACCACTCCAAATATACAACACGGTGGATAATTAGGTTTCCCAGTATTTACTTTGTTTATACTAGAGCATCCCTGACTGTCATACCTGTTTTTTTCAAAAGCTTATTAGAAAGGGATTTTTTCCATAGAAATAAAACCACTTTGCTTAACTGGAGATAAAATTAAAACCCTGTGATATATTTGAGCTAGAGGTCTATGAAACTGATAGGCTGATGCTGCTGATTCCTTGAAGTTTATCAACAGCAGATTCAAATACAGAAGACTGATTCTTCATAGTTTCACTCTTTAGTGCAGCAGAAATATATCCAAGTTGTTTCAGAAGGCTTTTCACGGCATTTAAAATTGATAAACATAGCTTAGTTGGTAGAGAGGTGCTCTTAATTATGCATTATACCGCATGAGACAGATTGAGAGGATTAACAAATATAAGCAGCTGAACTGCTAGAACATATGGCTCCTTAGAAGCAGTAATAAATGACACTTTACCTGATCATTTACATTTTTCTAAAGATGTAAAGAAACTAGAGTAACACATTTCAGCAAAGATCTACTAAAACAAATCATTTATATTTGTCTTGGTTTGAGGTATTTCTGCATGTTTCAGAAAAACCAGAATATGAGAAAATTTAACCATATGCTCTCAGCTACAAAATGGGTTATTTATAAAGAACATCTACTGCTGCTAGGCAGGGGAAATACTATGTGCAAAATATTACACTTGGGCTTGAGACACTCCCCTGGTTCGGTTTGAAACCAGGCTGAGATTCAACATGCCATAAAACTGGTTTTCTGTAAGGTAACTGGGATTTGCCTGGACTTGGTGGCTGATCGTCTTCCAGAAGCATTATAAGACCTTTTAATTTGGGCAGGCCTTCAGCAAACAGGATTTTGAGAGGCATTACCTAAGGAGCTTGTTTCTATTGCATATTTATTTATTTTAATACTTTTATCTGTCTATAATTGATCTGGTTATTATTGCAAGTCACTCTGAGCTTCCTTTGGGGAGGAGAGCATATCAATCTAAGAAACAAACTAGGCATAAAAAAGTTGCCCGCTATCATCCAATTGTATTCAGACAACCACATCTGCCTTTCCTGCCCAGGTCCTTTCAAGTATATTTTCAATCGTGGCCAGAAAGCCAATACAAATGTCTGATCAGAAAGAACAGAGGAGAGTGGCCTAAATTAACTGTCAAGCTTCTTATCACATGATCCTTGGCATTTTTGAAGCTTTATATTCTCATGAGGATCCTACTCCTTCCAGTAAGCAAATCTCTGCTGAGGGAAACAGTTTGTAAGCAAGAGCAAATTCTTGGTGTGAAATATGTTCTCCCATACCTTTCTTTTTGCTTCTTTACAGCTGCCCACTAGGGTATGGTTCAGAGAAACCTCAGATGAAAGCCACAATTGCAAGGATTATTTTGGACTACTTTACACAGCTTACTTTTATGCCACCGTGGTACACCAGTAAATGTTATCCCCATTTTGCAGGCTGGAAACAAGTTTAGTAAGGTCACCCAGAGGCAGAAGCACTGGAAGACCTGGAGTATAACCAAGTTCCCAATTTGACTCTCAGTGCTAATTCTTTCATACAAGTTGAGTCTTCTTTTTACATAGGCTGACTACACAGTGCCAGTTGCAACAAAAGCATCCCTCCTTCAGAAGTATGGGTTAAACTCCCAGACACAAATAACAATTATAGCTTAGACACTGGATTCAGTGGGCACATAAATCATTCCATGAAATGAAAGAGCATAATCTCATTTTGAATAAAAACCTTATTAAGTGCTAGGGACACAATTAGTCTGCACTGCAATTACAGCAAGTCCTGCTCAGCAGTGTTAGTCACCGGAGTACATTCTTGCCTGTCTGCAATTTTCCTTTTATAAATAGTTTAACATGAGGCACAGGCTTTGTTTCCAAGTCAGCCAGAGAATGTTTTTCCCTGCTCAATGGCGAGGGATCCTGAAAAACTATTTTACATAAATGTTTTAATTAAATCTGGTTACGGTCCATGTATGTGTACAATTCTTGCTTATTGTGAATTTGGTTTGGCAAGTATTAAACGGACCTTTCAGACAATACCCTGAATAAAGTATTAAAAGCTGCCAAGTAAATTTTAAAACATTACACCATCAGTCTGATGCATCAATAAAATATTTCCCCAACCTTATAAGTCAGGCCTGTTCTCGTATTTGTTTTTGGAGTATTGATTCTTCATTTAGCATTTTCTGTGCCTTCCCCCCTGCAAATAACTATTTTAGTAATCTTCAACATTAAATTCCTGTGGAGCAAACAGCAGGTGACCTACTTTACAGGAAATCCTAGACAACAGCATGTATTACTTATACATCAATGTCCCAGAACAGCACGTTCCAGGTAACTACTACTAGCAAGATGACAAGTAGGGTCTTGTATTTCCCACAGTAATAATAAGAACTTTTTCATGTTACATTGCAACAGTGGCAAATAATAATACAAAACTGTATTCTTGGAGTATAATCTGCCTAAACAGGTACACACACTAACACAGTAACTAAGATGTACAACTTGCAGTCAGCCTCAAGCCAACGTTGTGAAACTTCTTTTACAAGTGCACGAGATCATAAGTTAACCTACGTGTTAGCTGTTCAAAATCTCTAATGCAGAAATACACCATTTGGGGCACCATGAACCCTACACACAAGAACAGACACTCAGACTTGCACTTGGTTAGCAGAATGCATGCCAACAAAATTTACTCAATATAAAACTACTTTTGATTGAGAGTTTCAGCATCCTGACAGGAGTATCACCCAACTCCATGGGCTCCAATACCACAGAGTACTTCAATGTTCTCGCAAAAACTAATATTGCTGTACACTGCCTGGAAAACTACTCAGGCTCATGCAGACCGTCCATGTGCAGAAATATAGTTCTCGACAGAAATACCTTTTCTTCCTCTGTGTCTTTTACAGATACAAACACAGCTTGGCAATAAGAAAATAAAGTAAAATTCAGTGTGAAGGCATGGCACTAAATTAATGCTGCTCACAGAAAGCCACCCACAGATCTTGCTAAAAGTTTTGTAAAACTTTTAGGAATTAATCTTGCTAGCTTTAGAATCCTGGACACTGAAAATATCCTTGGCATTTAATAGTGGCTTTCTTTCTAAGGGAGCCCCAAGAATTTTACTCACACACACTTGTATACACAACACACACAGCTCATACACAGCTATGAAGTAGAACATTAATAATATTACATTTAAAGCAACTACAACACAAGGCTCCATTTATGGGAATTGTACAACTGAACCTATGAGAATCAGGAATAAAGACACAGGTAAATGTTTTCTTATTGTAGAGAATGTGTACTGAAACTAATTAAGTACATATGTTAAGTGTAAATTAGAAAAAGTCAAGTGTTGAGCACTGAGTTGGAAGCAATAAAAATTCAACTTAAAGCAACAATCAACTGATGTCATATGTTCACTATATTAAAAATAATGAAGTAACTTAGTTGTATCAGTATATCACTCATATTCCTCTCCAAACTACTATATAAAATAGCAGGCACCCTATAAAACCTGAATGCCCAGAGGTATTTAAGTATGGCATTGTCCTAAAGAACTGGAGGAGGAACAGGAGAACTTAAGTTAGGAATATTTTATTTCTTAATGCAGGCTAAAATCTCCACGAGACAAATATGTGCCTGTGCCCATCTCAACCTGCGAGCAAGCACAAAGCATTACACACAGACTTTTCACTATCTGGTCTCACTGTCTAATTTCTGCTTCTACAAGAGCAAAGTGACCTGAGAGTGTCTGGGTCAGAACAAAACAAAATTGAAACAGGAAAAAAAAGCAAAAATAGAAGTAAGTTTTAATGAAGTGACAGCAAATTGACCACAACTACACATCAGTCATGTTACATCACGTACAGTGCCAGTGGAAGGGAACAACTGCGAAAGCTAAATGGAGACCCCACCTCCCCTTCCCACAGATGCACTTACCTTAGCTACGCAATCATCAAAAAATGCGAGACTTGCATCCTTATCGCTGACAAAAGAACACTCTTCAATGAAGCGAATGAACATCTGGGTTTTGGTCATCAACGTATAGAACTTTTGATGTGACCGATCTCGACTTTTTAAGAATCCTGTAAAATAAAGCAAACATAGAAAAGAATACTACTAACAATAGGAAATTCCACTAACAACAGGATTTCTTAGGGTGATATCTGTTAGGGTCTAGCTCTGTAGTTGGGATATAGTTAGGCAAGTTTTCAAATGCAAGACATTCTTCCTCAAGAAATCCTTGCCTCTCGCACAACTACTGGACCATCATAGTTACAACCTAACTCTTAACACTACCAAGAAAGAGTTCGTTTTTAAAGATATTTGTTATCTTTTTTTTAAATTAGTGCCTTGTATTATTGCTTAGTTAAATTCAACCATCAATTAAGTACATTTTCCTTTTTCTGTACTGCTTCGCCAGAAGGTTTGGGTGCTATATGATTTTCCCTGCTATCATTACATAATATTGCCAATGTTATCATTCAACACACCAACACTTTCTTATTTATCACTTCACAGAAAGATAATTTATGCATATGTTACTGGCTTATGATTTTAAAAGAAAAAAAAAAATCAAGATTATTTATAACCATTTACCTTGCAGTTCAAAGAGGGAACTTGCGTCTGTGGCGGTCTCAGAAGGTGCTTGCGTTATTGGCCTTAGGTATGACCTATAACCTTTCAATATTGAGGCCATGAAACACAGAAATGCCTCCTGGATTTCTAAATCTAACAAATGCAACTTCTTGCCGGAATTAAAATCATAGTCATTCATTGCTAACTCCATTAATGCATCTTCTCTTGGTCTTTGCTGCACTGTGAACAACAATGGTGTTAAAACGCTCTCTCAGATCAATGGTTAAAAAAAACAACTCTCAGTGTTGACAGAAAACGCAGCAATTTCCCATTTATCCTATTGGGTTTACTTATTACCACACTATGCTCCATTATGTTCTAGATCTGGTTTAAACATAAGCCATTAAATTCAATCTTGAAGTCTGATAATGAATTTAGGATGACAGCATGCGAATCACAAGTCCCTGGGTTATGCAAAAGGCAGACACAAGCACATTCACCTTTTCAGTACATTAGTTACTATGGAAACAGAGACAGAATTGGTATGGACAGAGCTCAGAGACATCCTTATAAAAGGGCTGGTTATGAAATGTGTTGAAATGTATACAAGAACTGATAACATTCATGAGTTTTTATGAATATGATAATCATATACATGGGATACATCATTTCCCTTTTATAGTGGCATCCTTTCCAAGGGGACCCCAATAATTTTACTCGCGCACACTTGTATACACAACACACACAGTTCCTATACACCACAGCAATATAAATGTACATAGCAACTGTAAGAGGCACAACAGTGCACAAATACAAAGGAAGAAAAGCATTTTGGTGACGGAAAAAAAGCAAAAACAATCTCCTAGCCAGAATCCCAACTCGTATGAAATGTGCTTTCAACAGAGATCACGGAGGCATTAGGAGGAACCCGATTCTTCCGGGTCCACCACAGTGTGATATGATGTGCTAATGGCATCTGTATGGAACAGAACTGGGGTTTCACCACTCTGTCCTACCATCCTTGGGTAGCAGCCATTGATTGCATTATATTTAATTTGGAGTATGACCATTGAACAGGAGACGCACTTTATTTTATATTACATGCAGAGTATTTGTATTTTAGAAACTGTTAAGAAACCCCTTGTATTAGGGTAATGAAGTGTAACTATTAGGAAACCGCATAACCTTCATAATAGATTCCTCCTACATAATACAGTATACTGACATTTGTGCAGTATGATATTTTTGGCAAATTCCATATAATTATACACTACTAAATTCCAATAACCTTTCCATAGCCAAGATTTTATGAAAATGGATGCTGGATGTTAGAAGCCCGAGTTCACATTCCAGCACTTAAAAAACTGTCCTGGTTTTGAGAAGTGAGCATCCACCCTTGTTAGAGATCTCAATTTTTTTTCAAAGCCCTTGATCAAAGGTTTCCAGGGTAACATCCCTCAAATGCGTCTGCTTTGAACTGACTCCACCTCCTTCTTGGGCTGATCTGTGTCTTAAACTGGTCATCTCTACCACTGTATTTTGGTCTTGTGAGCCATAGGTATTTCTATTACCCAAGGTCCCCCCATCCAAAGCCCAGTGAAGTTAAAGGAAACAAGCCCAAATGAAATTTTTCAGAACTGTGAATTTGGTTCATTTTACTCTTCTGAGCTCACCTCTAAATCTTTTTTTGTTCTCAATCACCACATCTAATTTAGATTACAGTGCATTTAGCTCACCATTGTAACATTTTTAAGGTTGTATAAACAGGAATCATTTAGAAACATTTAAGGGTACAGGGCCACATTAACAAAAAATTACATCTTTTAAAATTCCTGTCACCTTCACTCTGAAAAACGCTGCTCGCTCAAGCCACCATAGGGCTGTTACTACAGCGGCTGCAGCTGGATGAGTGCTGCTCTGCTCCCTTTGCTTCCAGAGGTGGGTCCTATCCCCTGCTCCTGCTGTGCCACTCTGGGTGGACAGGTGTGGAAGGAAGCTTCATCTAGACATCTCCCGCTGGAGGCAAGGACCATGAACAGCCCCACCAGAAGCTGTGCATGGTGGTTGGGGCCCAGGCTGGAGCGTGGCGCAGGCTGCCTCAGTGGGAGCAGATGGGGCAGGCCCCATGCAGTGTTGCGGGGGCAGCTGTGGGCCACATTTGGTCCATGAGCCATATTTTACCCAACCTTGTTTTAAGCCGTGGCCTCGGGGGGAAAAAGCCTGACATACAGCCGCAGTAAAATAACCTGAACTTTAGCGCAGAACGTTATGATAAATTTTGCTTGCAGACTTTAGCACAAGGCTACATCAGTAACAGGAAAAAAGTGGTCACAGCATTCAATGCATTTCACACACCCTAGTCAACCAGAAAGAGTCCTGACAACCCTTTGAATGTTCACCAGGGCCTGGGCACCTATCCTAAAAATACAAGGAGCATAAATGCAGCATAAAACTATACACAGGATAGAAGACAATAAATATTATAGACTTGAGTGTCCAAGGTTGTTTCTGCTCTATATGAGAAGAGCTGTGTGTTCTGTAAGGTACAACGAATGCAAACCAAGACTGGTTTTACAAGCCTTGGCTGCCTATTTGCTCTTCTGTTGTATCCTCATGGCTTCCTTTTTTATTGCAAGTGTCACATAAAAAGGATGGAGAAATGGCCCTGCCTTTATTTTATATAAAAAGCCACTTTTCCCCAACACATAACCCAGTAAGCTGTTCCTTTAAAGTGTTGCTTTAAACAGTCTCTTTTTTGTAAAATTATTTTGTGATGCTTAACATAAAGGAGATCTTTTTTTTTTTCTTTCTTTTTTTGGGGGGGGCGGAACGTACTCTACCAAAAAACTACTAATCTGTCAACAGTGGCTGCAGTACACAATGGTTGAGGCAAATTGTTTTCTATACTTCCCCTACTCACATTCTGCCAGCTGTTGATACAAGTTATTTAAAGTGTTCATCAGATTTTTGCAGGGTTTCTTTGGTAAGATCTTCCAAGCAACAGTTTTTTTATCTCCAGTTCTAGAAAGGGAAAAAGAAGAGTATGAATATTTATTGGAACACAGGCTTCAAAAGTGGGTGAGACTCAGAGGAATATACATTTTTGCATGTATGCACGTTATTTATTTAACAATTGTTAAGCACACAGAATCTGCTATATAGAGAATGTTCTTTTGAGCACGGGAGGGGAAAAAAGCAAACATTTACTGTATGAAGATGCAGTAACATTGGCATCCAGCTGGTTACTCAGATATTCAGACGATGACTCCACAAGTCATCCTCCATTAGTGCTGGGAGAAGTCATCCTTTATGAAACAGAAACATTTAGAACTCAAGGAAATGATGTGAATGCTTTTCATCTTCCAACCACATTATGAGCAGAGACTACGTAAGCTTGCTGAGAAAAGACCTTCAACACCTCAGTATTCTGCTCCTCTGAATTATGTGCTAATGGTATGCAACAGATTTAAAAAAAAATACCCCAAACCAGGTAATGCAAAGACTGAGACTATGAGCCAGGATAAAAAAAAAACAAAAACACACAGCTGGACTGCTATGTCCTTTCAGCAGCCACAGCCCTGTGGTGTTACACATAGTTTTTACGTTCAATATTTATCAAGTTTCTGTCCAACAGAGTTTAAGAATGATTGTGCTGCACGGAACAATACAGGCTTAAATACAATAAAATATAGCAGCTACACAAAGGTACTTCCTAAGCAGTAGTTACTTAAATCAGGAAGGGGGAGATGATTAGAACTTAAGCAATGAGCTGAATAAAGCAATAACCGGTGTGAATTCCACTTGCCTGGATCTGACCCTGAGCGATAAAAAAGTTATACTCTCCCCTTGTCAACAGAGGGCAGTAGTAAGCCTTTGAGACCTTAAAGCCACAAAAGAGCAAAAAATCTCATGTCTGTCACCTGCTTTTTAAAAATAATTTTATGTACATATACACAGTGTTCATATGCTTCAAGAAAAGGCATCTGAAGCCAGCCATTGATAGAAGCAGCAGGAAGACTGCAACAAAGGTAAGCATTATAAAAGAAGCTGAATCAACGAGCAAGAAAGTAAAAGCAGGGGCAACTGAAAGTACTGACACAGGCAGCAATGGCTAAGAAAGGATGCTTCTGCAACTCTTCTACCTCTTAAATAATCTCCACTGATGATCATAGCCCACCCCCAACTGGCTGCCAAGAAGTGCAATCCAAGAGCTGTATAAAGTCTGAAATAGGTAGAGGTGCCTTAATACAGCTTCTTTTAGCAAATCAGTATCAAGGTTTTTAAAAATCAAATATGCAAAACTGTGGTCATAATTCCACAGATCACATTCCTCAAAATAAATCATCCAAAAATAAAAATAAAAAAACAAACAAACATTAAATACATGGAAAAAGGATTACAGAAGACAAGTATTTTTATAAGATACTTCCCCGCCCCCCATTTTATATATTTCTTGAACAATCACAGCTGCAACAACACTCCAACCCTACTGGAAAAAGGATCACACCACAGACCTCCCCACTGCAACTTGTTAAGTTAAAAAAAGGAAGTGGGAATGGCTTAAAATATGCTATCTATAAGATGCCCATGCAAAACAGAACTCAGTTATACTGTTTTGGTATAGAAAAGGCTTCTCTTTAAACAATTATGAGTTATATACACATTTAACAGATTCTGGAATTTGGGCATTTTACATTAGGATTATATATAACATTTTACAAAGCAAACAAGTCCTGTAGGGCCTGCAAGAATAACTCTGAATCACTTAACTGAAATTTTGTATTTAGGAGAACAGTGCTTCAACAGAGTTGTGGGCATATCAGGATTGTTCAAGGACAGTGTACAAGGCCTAATTTTTTCCAATACAAATGCTATTGCTAGTGTATATAAAGACAGTTTTCCTGCTTTATCCAACTGCTACGCTGATCCATTTGTTGCAGCACAACCCAAAATGCTTCTCTAAATAGCCTATTTGAGTCCCACTGGCTGAAAATGCCTATATCAGATTCAACACCAGAGAGAGTATTCACCTTATACCTTGTATCCAACTAGTCTTGCCAGCTACAAACATCTACACTGAGATATTCTGTGGGTAATGCCTCACACTCCTCAATTCTTCCTTCATAAAACCCTAGTCTATGAAGCCAGGCCAACACCAATATTCTTTACATTAGGATTTCAGAAGAATGAATCAGAATCATCAACTTACGGACTGGAACAATTGATCTGTATTCTTGCAGTTTCAACCTGTTTACCAATACTTCCCTTTAGGCAAATCTGCCAGAAATAAGCTATGTTTGAACTGTTCTCCTCGTGCTGCAGAACTTACTGCATCTTGGCTGCCAGTCTTGTTCCCTAATGGCTTTAAAGCTGCACTGCTACCACTTAAACCTCTTCAATAGCTGGCTTCCGACTATCTTAGGAATCTGTTGCTATCTTGAACTCGAAAGCCTTTTAAGGAACCCTAGAAGTAAGCAGAATTGATTCAGAAACTGAATGTATTTGGGAGGAAAATAGAAGGCTTCATTCCGTATTTTAAAATGTTGAAGTTAATGCCAGCATACTTTATTGAACATGTAAAGTATGTATATTTTTGACAAGTACTGTAGGAATGGAAATGTTTGTTCCTTTCTTCTAAATGGCATCAACCTTATTTTTATCATACACAGAAGCCAAAAAGAAGCAATACTGTCATACACAATGATAGTTTTACAGCTTTTGATAGTAATAGCACACACTTATTTGTAGCTGAGATTTATTCTATTTTCTTGGTTCTTTACTTCAGATTATTTTCTTCATTTGAAGTTTTTTTTCCCCATTAGGTCACATAGCCTCCAATCACCTGAATGGGGTACTTCAAGGTAGGAGCAAAAGGCCAAATGCTAGCTCTTCCTCTGATTAACCAGGTAGCCTTAAGCAAACCACTTGTTCTGTTTCTTAGGATGCTATCTTAAAAAAAATGGGATAATACCATCTCCCTTACAACAGTGCTGGGCAGATTAGTTTAATATCTGCATTGTGCACTTAAGTTGCATGCTAAATATTATGTAATCATATGTTAATATCCTTATTCCAAAGTCAACCGGTGGAATTCCTGAGGAGTCCACCTGTACTTTCAAGGATGTGTAAAGGAAGAAAAGAAAAAAAAAAAAAATCAGTGCAGTAACCTTACTGCAACAGGAAACTATGATCCAGGGTCCTGGCCTGGGAGGCAGGTATGGACTATGAACAGGCATTCGTTTCTAGTGGTGGAAACGTCAAAGAAATGAATACCTATTCCTAGCCCACTTTAAGAAATTTCCAGCACTAGAAAACTTTCCAGGAGAGGGAGCAGCGCGGGCATTCAGCCTGAAACCACCCCCTCTCCCCTGCTCCTCACACCTTCCCCTGCCCTGTCTGGGGAACAGGCAGGAGTCTTTCTCCATCACTCTTCTCCCTCCCATAGACAAGGGACCTGGGACCAGGTCTCCTTCACTCTCCTCTTGGTTTTGGGGTATAGGAGTAGCAGGGCAAAGCCCCCAACAAATTTCCCAGACTGGGCAGTCTCCAGTTTGAGGAACAGGTGGAGACCAGTGGGCAGCTGCTCCCCTCCTGGACCAAACCAGAAACTCTCTTGCAAGAGAAATCTTCTACTTGTCAGCCTAGAAAATCTTTCTTCTCAAGAAAAACTGAATGAATGCTTTTATACTCCTAGTTTCAACTGAGGCAGTGGCAATTATCCTGACAGAATCATAACACCTCCATGTGGCCCTGGTTTCTGCTGTCGATGCAGCCACTAGCCTGCTCTGTGAGCCTGGATGAACCATTTCTTCTCCCACCTTTTATTTCTTTTCTGTATTTAAGATGCAGGCATTTCAGAGGGGTTTCTGTCTCTTAGTATATGCCCTTACAGAGTTTAACACTATTAGACCCAAATCTTAGTTGGCACCTCTAGGCATTGCCATAACAATAACAGCAATAACTGAAGTCTGGTGGCCAGCCTTCAGGATAAGATCCTATTTGCCTGTTCGATTCTGGTAACTCAGATAATTTGTTAGTAAAAGTGGTATTCCCTCATCCAAACCATAATTGCTACTCCTCTGGCAGGATAGAACCATTGCTCATTATTGATGGACTGGCTCTAAATCTTTAATTTGACACACTGTCCTCCTTGAAAGTTCTAATTTCTAATGTGATTTATAATTACTCTCAAAATTCAGGATGTCAATTTCATTCTCTAGTTTTTCCAACAACTCCTTGTCTCAGGAGGCTAAAATTGCTCGCAACCTTTACAGAGAAAATGTCTGTTACTGAGAAGACTACCTAATAAAAGGAGAAACATCTCCTTTCCCCTGTGGAAGAAGCAAGATTGGCAGCAAGCAGGATCAATCTAGCAAACATGCCAATGCAAGCAGGAACCTTTCAGTCTTTAAAAAAAAAAAAAAAAGTGTACAGAGCGATGGTGGTGATTAATGAGGACTCTACCTCCATTGTGCTGCACTGCACAAATACCAATGAGCTACTGTTTCTGATGGACACGTCACAGAAGAAAGATTGTTGAGATGCTATTATACAACAGGAACATAAGGTGTAAAGACACTTAAATGAAAAATATAACGTGTTGTCATAAGAAGTATGAAAGCAAACACTATTGTACAGAAGAATCACTCATGCATACTTACTGAGAAATGGTGTTGGTATCTAAGTCCACACAGCTAACATCTGGTGGAGGGTCATAGAGGTCAAAGTATCTTGAATCAATTCCTACTATGAACGGACATGGTGCGCTTAACACATCTGCCAATGCCAAGGGGCAAAGTGGTATGTACGGACATGGCCAGTGGAAAGGAAATATCATCTTAAAAAAAAAACAAATAAATGTAGCTTAAATATATAGAAACATGACAAAGAGAAAGGACAAGCTCAAGTGTTGTAAATATGTGGAAAATAATCTAGCATGAAAGATGGAACAGGATTTAGGTGGCTGAAATTATAAAAGCCAAATAATAGTTGCTGTCAATGTGTGAAATTGTCTTTTAAAAATTTTAGCTCGTTTGGCTTAAAAAACAGAACTGTCCTGTTCCTCAGGTGAAGCAGCAGCCCTGGTCAGTGAGGAGAGAAGAAAAACGCAACATGCATCTACAAAACTTCTAAGCAGAAGGTTGATGCAGAGAATATAGTCCCACTGAAGCCATTCAGGGATGTCAAAGTTCCTGCATTCAGTGCATTATTATGGCTGAAACAAATACTGTAGATAAGCAAAAGCCAACACCCTCTACTATATTCATGTGATTCCAGGGGTATCGCAGATGGCAAAATATGAGCCTTACTTTGAACTCCTAAGTAATAGGATTCCTAAGTAATATTAAAGCGTTTACCTGACTTTCTTATTTTTTTATTTTCTTTTACTACAGGTATAACAAAGAAGAGATAACGCTACTTACGGAGACTAATGCCTCTGTCACACTAGTAAGGACTGAAGGGCGTAAGGAATGGATGAGAATTTTATGTTCCGTTACAGCAAATACGAGCAGCGTCACTGCATTCTCGGGTCCTAGGTTCTGAAGCAGCGTAGAAAACTTGCCACCACTGCTGGAGAAAAAAGTACTTTGGTGAAAAAAAAAGTCTTATAATTATATATTGCAATGAAAAAAAAAATCATTGTGTTCTACATCACAATCTAATTTAAACCAGGGTACTATAAAGGTCACACTGCAAACTTAATTTTCCATTTGTGTCTATTTTTTTGCATTCCTGTTCAGCACAAATGCAGGCACTTCCATGTGCTCCAATATCCTAAAAAGCAAAGGTTATTTCTTCAGTAGCTCTGAGAAGTAGTCAGTGTAGATCTCACTGTAGATGCACAAACATAAGAGACTAGACTTTGAGTTGAGGCCCCACTGGAGTGGCATATCACCTGTGCTGCAACATGTTTCTGAGCAGGGACCAGGTCATCCCCCCCACCGGGACCCCCGTAGGCCCCAGGGGAGGCACAGCGAGGCCCAGGGTCAGAGAGGACCTAGTTAGGGAACTTCTGGAGGGACTGGACGTATTTAAATCAGCTGGTCCAAATGATCTCCACCCCAGAGTGCTGAGGGAATTAGCAGAGGTCATTGCGGGACCCCTGACACGGCTTTATGAGCACTCATGGTGCTCTGGTGATGTGTCAGAGGACTGGAAAAGGGCCAATGTGGTTCCCATTTTCAAAAAAGGGAGGAAGGAGGACGCACGAAACTATAGGCCTGTTAATCTTACCTCGATCCTGGGTAAGCTTTTTGAGAGAATTATCCTGGCACATGTCCGCAAGGGGCCAGCAAGGGAGATTATGGTTAGGGGCAACCAACATGGGTTCATTAGAGGCAGGTCCTGTCCTGGTGGCCTTCAACGACCAGGTCACAAAATCCCTGGATGCAGGTGTCGCGGTGGACATACTTTTTCTGGACTTTAGGAAGGCCATCGACACTCTCTCATCCCATTCTCATTAAAAAAACTAAGGGACTGTGGTGTTGATACCTACAGTCAGATGGGTCACAAATTGGCTGGAGGGCCTCACCCAGAGAGTGGTGGTGGATGGGTCTTATTCGACCTGAAGGAATGTGGGCAGCGGGGTCCCCCAGGGCTCAGTCCTCGGGCCTGCACTGTTCAACATCTTCATCAGCGACTTGGACAAGGGGGTGAAAAGTACCTTGTTCAAATCTGCAGACGACATTAAGATGTGGGGGGAAGTAGGCATGCTAGAAGCGAGGAATAGGCTGCAATCGGACCTAGACAGGTTACAGGGGTGGGCGGATGAGAACAGGATGGGATTCAACACTGACAAGTGCAAGGTGCTGCACCTGGGGTG